CTTTGTAAAACATATACGTCGTCATCTTTTGTCTTTCTTCAACTGTGTTCTCTTGTTTCATCACGAGTAGGAATTGAGCCGACTACGGAAATAGTCAGTGCAACGATGAGTAAAAATTAAACAGATCTTTTATTAATTGTAATGATTTTTTTCACGGTAATCAAAGCTTTTCCTACACTGTTTACACATCGTCAAGTATTTCAATCTCGCTTCAATACTAATTGAAATCTCTCTGCCAATAGCAATCCAGTCCACTTGTAATATTCATGAACAACAGGAAACAATAAGAGAACGCAAACGAAGGAAAGACAATTCGGCGAGTCGTAGCGTACAAAGAAGAGAGCTGAATTAATGAAATTGACACTCGAATATATACTTGGAAACGTTTCGACACACAATTTCAGTGTGCGGATCAATTTTTAACCCGAATTGACACGTCTACTTACCTACGCTCTTCAAATGAATCTCGGCTGAAGTCCTCGTACATGCCTCTACTATAACAGCGGTATAATAAATAATCGAAACTACGAATGATCAAAGATCAATATATACACCATACTTGCTCCCTTGTCCAAGGCTTAACTTTGTGAATTAGTCCCTGTATAATGGATAATGCAAGAAAAATATCCGCGTGCTGCCTAATATGACTGTGGTACGTAGTGGTTGAGAGAAAAAAAAAAAAAAAAAAAAAAAACAACAAAACAAAATCAGAAATGGTTCGGCAAGAAATTACTTTCATAGGCAGTTGTACGTTCAGACAATGTAAAGACAAAATAAACTAGAAGACACTACACACCAATCGACCAAACATGATGAACACAATCCACTGAAGAAGGGAAGAGAAGAATGTATTTACGAAATAAACGAATAATATATATTGCGGATATGTACATGAAGTACGCTCGTGTACAATTTCGGAAGATGCTCTATTTGTCTACAGTTAGCCAGCCTATTCCATCCGTGGATGCACGTCCAAGTGATTAAACTGATGAATATATATGCTAGAGGGATGGCATCCGTGAAAGTATCGATGAGCAAATTATTCGGAAGAATGCTTGTTGTGCAATCGTATATACAAATTAAATGTATACGTAATTGAAAAGCGAGCCTCTACAAGATGGTGTGCAATCGCACGCTAGACTGATTTTGCTCGAGATGGCGGGACACAATTGTCATTTCAAAATATCGAATGAGTACTCAGAGACCTATATCTCTTACATATGCTGTTGTGCGTGTGTGTGTGTATGTGTGTGTGTAGTTCTGTATGTGTCAAGCTACGCGTACTTATAAATTATATCCAAAATATCTGAATGCAAGCAGTAACCAATTATTTCTATCCACTTTATTTCATACGAGGTACATTTACCAGAAGGGAAACAAATTAATAAGTGGACGCGTGATACAAGATTCGCAGCGATAAGAACATGGGATGTTTTCGTCTTTTTTTCCTTTTCTTTTTCTTTTTCTTTTTTTTTTGTTGGTTTTTTTCCTCTTTCTCTTTCTTAGCCAGTCATATAAGGCAGGCAGCGTTAGACTGGATTTCTAACCCATGCGACTTTCAAATTATAAATCAGTTTACATAACGAGAACGTAACGAGCCATTTGCAGCCCAGGCTGGGATCATGTATAAGGATAATAATAAGGTTTACATGCAACAACAAATTTCAAAGTATTCAGAAAGATTGAGAAGTTCAATCAACTCTGTTCTCTATTTGAAAGTTTGCGAATGGATTTACATACATGAAAAGCTTTGAACCTCGTGAGTAGAAGTCAGCTTCAAGAACTTATGGATTCGTAATTTTGAAGCAAATCTTTTCCCCCTACCCCTACCCCGTCTATCTCTCTATCTCTCTCTCTCTCTCTCTTCCTCGCTCGCTCTCTCCCGCGCGTGCTCACTCTCTCGCTCTTTCTGCATAAATTTATGTGTATTTGTTTGCGTGTACATGTATGCATATGCTTGTATGCATAATGAGCATGTATGTATGGTGTCAATGTCCGTTTGTACACGCGCGTTTTCATAGCTTTTTGTACATCTCTTTATCACACTGATACTGTATATAGTAGTACGCGGGGCCGGTTTCATGAAACTTCCACGGATAACTCGACATTTTCAATCAATTAAAGAAGTGCAATTTTTTTTTTTTTTTTTAAATCAATCAACGCAGTTCTTCTCCTTACGTTTTACGTTGACGTAAAATCAAAATCGAGAAAGCTTTGCATAAAAATGGAATCAGAGAGAAAAGAAAAAAGGAAAGAAAAAAGAACTGAAAGAGAGAACATGATTCATACATGTATCAGAGATCTAATAACATAAGAGAACAAATTTCTTTTTTTTCTTTTTTTTTGTTGTAACAAACGTAAAAACAAATTACTTGGAAATCAATGATTTGCACACTTTCCCCCCGGGTTACTTGGAAACACAAAACAACTATTGAAATACGCGACGTGTGCACGGCAACGTTACTTTTTCCCCCCCTCCCCCTTTTTCCCCCTGAAACGTACAACTCGAAAACTCCATCTACGTAAGCTGTTCGTAATTTCTCACTCCGAGATACGATCATTTCACAAATGACGTTTGCGTCTATCGAAAAAATTACGACGTTGACTATGGAAAAATTACGATTGAAAAAGACGATGAAATATATTCGGAAATTATCAAGGAAATTGAAACAGATGCACGTGTAATAGGATGTTTCCGAAGCGTATCTATGAAACTGGCCTTAACAACTATTAGAAACGCCGACATACAAACAACAAACTTACTGTCCAATGCGTCTGGAGAGCTGGTTTCTACTTACGAGACATTTCAAAGACAATCGATAGGCGCCGTTCCTGAAAATCGCGCCAGCCCTTTTTTTTTCTTTTCTTTTCTTTTCTTTTCTATCTACAGCGTACGAGAGTTTGTTAGAATTGTAGGATCGCATCCTGGCTCGCGGTAGTGCGATCAAGAAATCTAGTTCGCATTCCTTAGGAACGTTTCTTCATCCCAGGCCTCCGCGCCACTCCCGGTTGAGTGATGTACGTAATAAGGAGCGCTTGAAACACAAAGGATTTATGAGAGACATACAGGCCAATCTCGCAGTTAACGCCATGGATCAAGAGAGTCTATGAACAGGGACATCCCTAGAAGAGCAGTCGACATGTTCAAGGTACGATCAGTCGAGACCCGGATTTTGTTGGCATCGAGGAAAATAGAAGCTGCTGATGTACAACGCGCCAGCGACAAGAACGAGGTATGACTACTCGCTAACAAAAGTGGTCAAAGACTTACTCTTGCACGACTTGAACGCTGGCCCGGGACTGTCTCTCTAGGGTTGCCCGCATTCATGGACAAAGATGGTACGCAGCCTGAGGTGCACTGAAATTTAGAATGTACAGAAACGTCCAAGCGTCATGATATACATTAGCATTTTATAACACAGACTCTGCACTCATGTGGGCATCGGGTCGACAATCTACATGGATTGGAACAATATCGATCGCCGTATCAACTATGTAATGCAACAAACAAAAATTATACGTGTAACATAATACACAATATGATTATATATGATACGTATGTGCATATGTATTGTGCGTAATACGCGTGAATATATGCATACTCACACGCATACGTACATACATATCGTGTGATTTCATTTCCAAAAGGTAGAAATAAAACAAGAAGAGATGTGGTACAGAAATTTTCGTAGCGACAATCAAATGTGAAACCATGTGCAAAATTTTTTTTGTCGCGGACAAACGAATAACTCGCATTCGCCCGATGCAATTTAGAAATGGCCACTTTTCCATAAAATAATATGATATATACGTATATATATTCAAGAGAGAGATAAACTTTTGAAAAATATGAGATTGAGAATACACAAGAGAAAAGAATAAAATGCACGATAAAGTAAATATTGTTAAATGTCGACGAATAACCGAACCCCAATTCGCATGAGCTCTCAATCCAGCCTGGAACGTTCACAATGTTAAGTCGGACGAATGGGCAGTCAATAACATTGGCTCTACTCACCTGAACCGGCCATTGTTGCCACTTGGAGGGGGTGATCTGCGGCTGAACATGCCATACTCGTTACCACGGGAGAAGCCAGTGTCGCGCATGGATCCCATACCTAGAGGAGGCATAGGAGGCATTGGGTCTCGTCTTGGAGGTAGAGGTGGCATTGTCATTGGTGGAAAGTCAAGCCCGCACATGGAACTTCCCATGTCACAGGGCCCTGTCATACCCGTAAACCGCCTCTCGTAGAGGTCCCTGGTGTCCTCGAAGCCTCTCCTGTCATAGTAGCTTTCGTAATCCTGTAACACAAACAAAGGAACATATTGTTACGAATGGTCGCAAATGCTTGTATGATAAATTTCTCTTTCCTACAGAATAGAAATTTTCTATTCTATTCTCAATGTTTTATGTACAAATTAATTTATTCAAATAAAATAGAGAAAACTACTTACTCCAAAGCGGCCACCACCCATTAACCGGTCCCGAAGGAACGGTGGTGGCGGCGGTGGAGGATACGGGTCGCGTCCAAACATTCGGTCTCTGTATCCGTTTCTATCCGGTCCTCCTCCCATTCCTCCTTTCGGGCATTCCTTGGACCAATGGCCGCCGCGACCGCATCGATAGCACTGTTCAGGATCTCCCATTCCTGGCCTTTGTCGTACTCTGCTTGTAGAAATTTGAACCTTCATCGGTTGACCATCCACCATTTGTCCATTGAGTTCCTTGATGGCATCGTTGACATCACCTGTTGCTTCTAGATGGACGAACCCGTAATTTCTCACGATATCGCATTCTACAACGGTACCATACTTGGCAAACAATTCGCGCACTTGGGGCGCTTTCGTATTATCTGTGAGATTGCCAACAAATATTTTGGTTGTGGGAGTATTAGGTCCCTTGCGACTCTTTGCAGCCTCACATTTGATCGGCTGTCCATGAACTATGTGTCCATTCAAATTTTGTATCGCATTTCTCCCTGCTTCTTCATTCTCCATATGCTGTTGAAAATTACATTATAACATATTTGTCGTATTAACGAAAAAAAAAAAAAAAAAAA